GGATTGTGCTGTGGTCTACTTGTTAAAAGACATGTGATGCATTTTCCACTAGAGCTGAAGGTTTATTTTATTTTTTAATTTTTTTTTAATTTTTTTTTGAACTGAAGGTTTAGTCAGTTCCCTATTGTCAGTAGACCTTGTGCCTGCAAAGGGTTTCTCCTAGTCTTCTGGGGGATGGGCCCACAGCTCCTGTTCTCAGGCAAACTTACCCTAGTTGAGCAGTGCCTGCAGGTGCAAGGGGATGGGCCTTGTGGTAGTGGTTTAGGCTGTCATTGTTGGACCTGTGCTGCTTACTGAAATTAGTTTATGGTGAGGGGTAGGAGAGAGAAATGGCATCAATCCCCTCCCTCATCCCAGAGAAGGGAGTTGAAGCTTGCTACTGTCTGGGAAGCCCTCACAGAAGAATGAACAATCTCCCCTCATGTGTCCCAAGCATCCCTAGATTCCTGCCTTCACCCTGTCTGTGTCTAGGCTGGCTGCCCACCTGGCAGTGCAATGCACCTGTGTTTTATTCCAGGCAGGTCAGGTGAGTTTTAAAACTTGAAACTTTAGGGAAGGTGTGTTGTGGACCTCCACTGGTCCTCTGGGCGAGCGTCTTGCTGTGCTGGAAACGATGCAGGTCTGTCCCTAAAGTTCAAGAGCCTGGAGTTTGGGGTAAAGCCCAGCAAAGAGCCAGTGTCCAGGTTAGCTGCCCTCAGAAGGGGTCTGTGCCCTTGCTGAGCACTGGGGGAAGGTTATGGCACCTGCCAGCCCTTTTGTCCCCAGCGAGACAATGCCATCTTTCCCAGATGCACTCCAGGAAGGGGGAACCATCTCCCCCAGGGAGTCCCATAGGATCCTCAGGTCCTGCTCTCCACTTCAGGCCATCTGCCCTCTTCCACAGGAGCACTGCAGTGCCCACAGGGATCCAGACCAGCCAAGTCACAGACTTCCAATCCTCCAGTCTTTGAACCCTGCTGATTGTAAGCACTCACAAAAATCAGACTGCCTCTTTTTCCCAGTCACTGTCTGTGTGGGGAAATGTTTTCTTGTGCGATCACCTGTGTACTCCTACCTCTCTCAATCTCTCTCTCTCCTGTCTCTGTGACCTGCTCTCTCCCACTCTGCAGCATTGGGGATCCATTTCTCCCCCAAACCACATCTCTGCCTTCTACCTTTAATGATGTGGCCTCTTCTCTCCCTCATGTTGTGTGGTTTGTTCTGTTCTCCTCATGCACCTGGAGAGCAAGGTTCTTGTCTTACAGAGTCAAAGAATGAATCTTGCAGACAAGGGCGAGCAAGTAAAGGGATAGAGTTTTATTAAGCAAGGATATAGAAAAAGCTCTCAGGAGGGAGAGTGATGTAGTTTTAAATGTAGGTGACATATGATGTAGTGAGGTCTGGAGCCCACAGCCAAGAAGGAATTCTTGAGAGGTCTTTGGTGCAAAATGGTGGTTTTATTAAAGCAAGGAGGACAGCACCCCTGGGCAGGAAGACCTGCTGCCCTGGGGTTGTAAGGGGTGGCTGATTATATACTTGGGAGTTAGGAGAGGTAAGGAAAAGGGAGGTTTTCAAAAGAACTTTCATATGCTAAAGAGGACCCAGAAGATACTGGAGGCCTTGCCATTGTCAAGTTAAGGTTGTTTTTCCCTCTAGCAAGGCATTAACATGAAGACAGTTGGGAGCTTCCTGGAGTATGTGTGACATTACTCCATCACACATATTTCACCCAGTAATCGGGACAGGGAGAAGGTTGCAGGGTATCAGCTTGTGCTGTGTCCTCATCTAGCCTTGTGCTCCCTCATCACTCAGATTGATTTCTTGTGTATTCAGAATGATTTTATATGTATCTAGCTGTGTTGGAGGAAGGAAGCAAACCTGGGTCCTCCTACTACTCTGCCATCTTAGGTCCTCCCTTTTAATGTATTACTGAATTCAGTAGTTTCCTAATATTTTGACAGGGATTTTTACACCCATTTTCATCAAGATTAATGGCCTCTAATATTCCTTTCTTGTATTTGCCTTGTCTGGGTTTTGTCAGAGTAATTCTGGCTTTAAAATGAGTTTGGGAGTTTTCCCTTCTTTTCTAGCTTTTGAAGGATTGTGAAGGATTGATATTAATTCTTCATCTTTCTATGTGTGTTAGAAAAAATACTTTTCATATTTTTACCAGAGTAACACTGGCTATTTGCTCTTCCTCCATATCACAGACATGTTCCAGCCTCGGGCTCTTTGCACTCACAGATTTTCTTTTCTGTAAAAACGTCTTCCTCTAGATGTGTACATGGAATACTCCCTTCATTTGAGTCCTTACTTAAAAATTCATATTCTCATGATTGCATTTTGAATGGCTATATTAAAAACTCAGCCTCACCAAAAAACTCACAATCTTCTCTGCTGCTCTAATTGCTCTCCACAAGATGATACTTATTACTTTAGAATAGGTCACATAGTTCTAAGAATCCCTTGGGCAAAGTTAATAGGTGACAGAAAGAGAGGAAATATTTGCAATGTTTACAATTAAGAAATAATTAATTATCTATGATACAGTAAGACCCCAAAACAGCAAGTAGGGGACAGCAGTCTGAATTTAAAAAGGGCCAAACAAATGAGCTAAGATGTACAGAGAAAAACCACCCTCCAGCAATACCAACAAAAAAAACCCTCAAGTTAGTCAACAATGGTGTATTAATTTACATCTACTAGGCTGTCAAACTTTGGAGGACCTGAATGCTGTCATGGAGTACACAGACATCTGCATGCATTAGCATATTTCCCCTGAGAGAGAAGATCTCAGCAGCATCTCTGGAGAGCAATCTGCCAATCCCTGGACAACTGCAATACAGACCTAGCAGGCAATTCCTGCTTGAGTATTGTCTCCAAAATATCTTATGCTGGTGCATAGGGGAACATGAGTGAAGGTGTACACTGCAGTGTTGTTTGGGATGGGGTGTCCGTCGGGAGAAAGTTGACAGGTCATTGTGGGGGTGCAACCCTGAAACATAGTCTCTTTTAGACACAATGGATCAGACATCATAGCATATAAATGAATGTTAAACTACAGAGTACAGTGAAAGAGGAAGAGATGCCCATCCACTGAAAATACAAACACATACAACAAGGCATATTTCATAAGAATACATTCCAGCAAAGAAACAACTTTAAATACCAAAGCCTGCCTGTCTGTGGTTTGAGTAGGGGTAGGATGGAACAGGAAATGAGATAAAGGAATAAACAGATGACAGAAGGCCTGTAGTGAATCAGTGATGTTAATATATCACGAACTGAAGAGAAAAGTTTAGTATCCCATTATGCTAACAGCTGACTACCAGATAGTCCAAGAAAGAGATAAAGGAAAGGAGGAAGGGAGTGAGGAAGGAAGAAAAGGGAAAAAGAAAGGATAGAAGGAAGAGAAAGAATGGAAGGTAGAAGAAAGAAAGAAAAGAAGAAAGAAAGAAAGAAAGAAAGAAAGAAAGAAAGAAAGAAAGAAGACAGATGGACACCATGTGGAAAGGGGAGTGGGAGGAAAAGCTGAAGACATTTGAAGTTTTGAATCTGTGCAGAGATTTTTGCATCCTCTTACTCAGTCTCTAGAACTATGGCATGATACCTCTTTGCCACCCTAAAGCTACAATCCCTCCTACAGAAGCAGTGTCTGTTATCTGGGAAAAGTGAAAGGATGTAAGAAAGCCTTTTAGAGCCTCCTAACAGTTTTCACAGAGTTTGAGCTCTAGCTGTGGTAGCATGTAGGCCCATGTGGTCTTGGTCTTCCCTGGGCAACACTGGAGGACTACAACCACCAATATTAAGGTACTGGAAGGATCCGATAAGATGCACACCACCAGCAACTGCCAGCAAGGGATGTATGCCCAACAATGATCTTGCTCGCTGGGGGCTGCTACTTAGCATGGGTGATTGGAGAGTCTTGAGAAGGAAGCCGATGAGAATTGATGAGGGAGAATGGGTTTTCTCATTTCAGAAGTTGATTTGAATCTTCCTGGGACTTGTGATTTTTTGATGGGAGAAGTCTTTGTAAAGCATTGCCTGGATATGTCAGAAGCATGACCTTTATAGTCCCATATATGAAGCATTGCAAGTGAAGTGTAAGGAACTAAAGCAGGCAATTACACCCACATATTTTGTGACAAATGTTCACTCTAATTGGAATGAAGTGAAAGAGTCATCATAAAAATTTGTCACATCCCACTTAAAGCAGAAGGTCTAACTTTAGGCATCGTCTTTCCATTCCCATCTCCATGTGGGTGTCCCAGGGCCTCCTTTAGGGATTCATAATGAACACTCTTTCCTTAAGTAGCCATCATGGGCACAGACAAACATGGGAAAGGGGGGAAAGATGGAAAGTACTCTTCAGTGAAATTCCTTTTTTTTCTTTTCTTTTTTTTGTTTTTTGTTTTTTGTCTTCTTTTGTTTTGTTTTGTTTTTGTTTTTGTTTTTTGCTAATATTGGCTCATTGGCTTCTAGGAGTGGAGTTGGGAGGGAAATAGGGAGGCAGCCATAGACGATATTTTATAAGTCCTGTATATGAAGCAGAAGGAAGGACAGAAGAGTCAAAGAATAAATGTGTGGGACAAATGCCCATGGAGTTTCAAATGGAGCATCTCCTGAAACAGAAAAATAAAGGCAATGTTGTTTTCTTTTACCCATACTGTACTTTAGATATATTAAAAATTCCAATCCAGGGATCCCTGGGTGGCGCAGCGGTTTGGCGCCTGCCTTTGGCCCAGGGCGCGATCCTGGAGACCCGGGATTGAATCCCATGTCGGGCTCCCTGTGTATGGAGCCTGCTTCTCCCTCTGCCTATGTCTCTGCCTCTCTCTCTCTCTCTCTCTCTCTCTCTCTGTGTGTGTGTGACTATCATAAATAAATTAAAAAAAAAATTCCAATCCAATAAACTTACCATTTACTTATGATAATAGCAAGCTCTGATTAAAAATTGATGACATATCTAACATTTTGGAGGAATTTGTGCAGCATTGAAAACAAAATTATTTCTCTTATAGGAACTGTCTGGCTTCAGCAGTTATTAAGTCTGATTTATTTTGAGGAACATCGCAGAGGCACTGGAAAACTGCAAACAGTGGATCAGGTCCCCTTCTTTGAGTACAACTTTCGACAATTGGATTTTGGGAAAAGACCATCTCCTCGTCTCTTCTCTACCCACCTCCCATACAACTTGGTTCCAAGTGGGCTGAAGAACAAGAAAGGCAAAGTAGGAAATAGACTCTGACTGCTGAAAGATAATTGCTCTTTTTCATGATTTCATTTTGTTTCACTTCATCAACACTGTGCACTCATCCAACTGTTCACAAATATGGCTATTTCCAAACTTTAAATTTCAATAGCCATCTGAGGTCTTATCTACAGTATCTGATTTGTATCTTGCACCATTTCTTTTCTGATTATAAAAGTAATACAGACATTCAAAAAGGAAAGAATAGATATCTGTGCTTTTAATTTGCTTGACAGACTGTATTAAAATACCATATATATTATATATTATATAATTATATATCCTTTCATTTTTTACAACTGTAGTACCAAGTATATATAAAATGCTAGCAATTCCTTTTTCTTGGCTCTGCGTGCCCTCCCTGCTTTCTTTTCACACTTCACCTATTTTGCCTACTTTCTGTTCAAATGTACCTCATTCCTTGGAATTGCAAGGGAACCTCGGAGCAAATCATTGATCTCTACTGAGTGTATTTCTCTCCCTCTCCCTGGATCAGTCACCTCCACTCATTGATAATTTCAGCTCTTGACTCATTACCTTCCTCTCTACCTCTACTCCTGTCACTCATGGGAGTGTTTCAAAGTTGATGTGAATGGTCTTCTGCAGTGCCAGACAAATGTGAGCCAACCTGCCCCTGAGGGGTCACCAGGAAGGAGCCTTCTGAGGGTCATGCAAGTGCAGGATTGCCTCCTTCATGTTGATCCTTTAGGCTCTGCACTGACCACCCCTATCCCCACCAGACCTCTCAGTGTGGGCTTCACCTCCAGTGAACTATTCCTCTGCCAACCTCCAGGGTTTATAAATGTGTTATAAACCTGCCTTTCTTTATGATACCATTTGCCACCTGATGCAATACATACTTACCTGTTTATTTACTGTCCAGTTCTGGCTGGAGTACAAACCCATGAGAGAGATGGAGTTGGAAGTGCACAGAACAGTGTCCAGCAAGCATTAGAGTTGAATAAATGAACAAAGGGATCACCAGTGATTGTTCTAACTTGAATCCTGACTTCAAACACCTTGTTATCTGAGTGCTGCCTCCTTTTCCTCCTACTCCTTTCAGGTATCTCTTGCAGTGACCTGTCAGCACATTCAGATCTCCTATTCCCTCCCCCTCCACTCTGTCTCAACACACACACCCCCCCCTCTCTCGCATATCCTCAATTTCTCCTCACCCACCAATGACCCCATATTTTACATTCAAATCCCCTTTGCCTCAATTCCCTTGCTCCATTCAACTCTTATGATCAGCTTCTAACTGCTAAGTCTGGTGAAACCCAATTATTGTATATTCGGGGTGTTCATGAACTGGTAGTGTGAGAAGAAAAAACAACGCACTTAAAAGTTGTATCTTCTTTTTCTTTTTATGACCTTGATGCTCAAATTTTACTTTTAAAAAATATTTTTCTAAAAAAAAAAATGTTTTGCTTTCACTGTTACCAAAATGACCATTTGCTACTGTCTTCATCTTCTCAAAATTCAATAACATTCTGTTCCACCTATCCCAGTAAAAGGGTCACAATAAACTATTCCCACTTGATGACCTCCACATCCCAAACCTCCACTCCCTGCCTTCCCTCCTTAAGAAGAGGAGTGGAATGTGTTGATCATTTTTGTTTTCAGTATATATCTGCCCTCTCCTTATGGTTTGGATCCCTTTCTAGATCTGTTTTATCTACCCAACTGTTTTGCAAATGAGAGACATTTTGTCCCCATAGGATATTTGGAATATTTGGAGCATTTTTGGCTAGGGTATTGATGCTACTGATCTTTGATGGGTTGAGTTCCAGCATGCTGTTAAATGTCCTATCATGCTTAAAGTCATCCCAAAAACAGATTACTGGGGGAAAATGGCCATGTTTCCCACTGTGAGAAACTTGCTCTATCCTCAAAGATTTTGCTTGAGCAATATTGTTTCTTTTTTCATTCATTTCCATTGTCCTTGTGATTACAGGATCATTGCATTTGGCCCATAACCAACTTTTAATGTGTCACGTTTTTACAGTAAAGCAAAACTTCTCTCACTCCATTTCCTCTATTATGTCTAAAGAGATCTCAAATATATCTATGGCTCCTGTTATCTAAACATGGAACTCAAATATCCAAATGCATTTTTTATTTTATCTCCAAACCACTGCTCTTCCAGGTTCCCTGTATTCATAAATGTGTAATCATCTACCTAAGAGGGTTAGGATCAGGACATCTGGCATAAGTGACTCATTTGTACCATTGTGCTTATGTCACTTTTATACAATCCTGTGGATTAATGACAAGAAGCCATTCTCAAAGCCAAAGCAGCAAGGGAATGAAAAGAACTTCTTCCTCCATGTTTAAGAAGACCTTTTATTTCATTACAGATACCAACCAGTTTAACAGTTGTTTGGTATCATCGACCACTTTGTTCATATCAGTAAATCCCATGGGTGAAGGGTTCAGTGGGCTGACATGCATCAAGCTCATCTTCTAGCTTAAGGGTTGGCTCCAGGCAATGTACAGGGAGGCAGTAGGTGAATGAAAGCTTTTCCTATTATAAACCTAGATGTGACTCCCAAAGGAGTCACAAAATATATACATGCCATTATGAAGATACAAACCTTAGGTTTCATCCAGGCCCCCTGACTAATATCTATACACACGCTGAATAAGCGTGGGCTAGACAGCGATTGATGATATTTTGTATTCTAATGTCATTGGGTTGCTTAGCTGTTTTATGAATGCAAGTCTTCTGATTGGTTATAATAAACAGTTTTTAGAATGAATCCCATATTCCTTCAATGCCAAACATCCTGAAGTAACTTTAACTTCTCTGTGCAAAGTACTCGTACTTTACACTATGAAGATATATAAATAAGAACTATGTAAACCGTACACAGAAGGATGAAAAAAGGCATTCTAAATTTTCTAAGATGATTTGAAAATATCTTTATAAGCTTTTCTTATTGTTATATAATTTATAGCTATGGGGCATTTTCACATGTATTAGCTTGTTGATGTAGAGACAAGAGAATATTGCTGCTCTCTGTCAGGGTGAGTTAAGAAGAGGTACCATGTGAGGTGTGTCTTATGGAATAATTGAGAGTCACTAGGCCACTCATGAAAGGAAAGGCATTGCCAAGAAGGGAAAGCCCAAAATATAAAGAGGGCTGAGTATATACATGACGTGGCTAGGAAAATGTAGAGTTAAAACAACAGGCTTCATCCAATTGGAAACTATTAGGGTAAAGCTCTGAGAGAATGAAAGCATCAGAAATAATGAATGCCTCCTTTCTTTCCAGATTATTTACATATACAGAAACCCTAAGGATGTTTTGTGCTCATATTTCCACTTTGGAACAAATGTGATATTACAAGTTACAAGTAGCTTTGAGAGATTCATGGAACAATTTCTCGAAGGAAGAGGTAACTAAAATTTATAGTATAAGTATTAAGTTTGGTGTCCTGTAGTAAATTTTTAAGCTTAGTGAATTTGGCAGATGGAGAGTGAATGATGAAATAGATTCAAACAGGGTTCTGTAATCAATGTATCGAGCCAGTTGGTAGGGCTGTCTGGGATAACCATGACCTGCCGTTGTTACAGATTTTGATTACTCCTGCTCCCTCTCAGGAGACTGTCAAGATTACAGGTACATCACCAGAGAATATTTACATCTAACCATGAGGAGAGTCTTTCACAAGCACACAGTTGTCTGGTCTAGCTCAGAGAGAAGCATCTCAATTGAGATCACAGGTTTGGAGCTTTGCACTGCATGTTGCAAGGGGCACCTCCCAGGAGCTCTATTTGACAAAGTTCTGTTCCATATTCCTTTCTTTTTAAAAATTTTTTTCTTATTTTTTTTTATTTTTGCCCATCTCTATGCCCAATGTGGGGCTCAAACTCACATCCTCAAGATCAAGAGTTACTGATTCCGTCCTAGGAGCCAGCTCCCCACATTTGTGTTCTGAGAAGCCAGTGTAACTGATTGATCAGGAGCAAGGCCTGCAGAGGTAGAGATGATGATCTGGAACAGGAGAGTCAACTGGAGAGCCGAAGTGACTCATCAGGAAGACTTCTTGTTGCATGCCGCAGGCAAATAGCTCTAGGTGCCTTTGGGCACTGAGGGAGGAGCAAAAAGGAGAAGATTCCTTTCTCTCTTTTCCGGTTTTGGTTTTTCTCTCCCCATGTTAAGATGATTTTCTGCCTGAATAAAATGCATTTTTAAGAGACTAATTTCTCCTTGAGTTCATCTAATTGTTTCCTAGGGGAAGGTGGATAGTGCTCCTAGAACCAGGTTCTAGGGAGAATTTGAAATTTAGCAGCAGACTTCCTCTTCCTTCTTTGTTAGTAAAGATTCCTGTACCTCCTACGACTATAGCTTATTTTCAACCTGTTCAACAAATTTGCCTGATGATGTATCTGTTTTTCCCACAGTTATGGGAAGCCTTTGGTTTGACCACATCAAAGGTTGGTATGAGCACAAAAGCCTCTTCAACATTCAGTTCATGATGTATGAGGAGATAAACAAGGTGAGAAACATGACATTAGTGACTTCACAGAAGCTGTAAAAACAATTCAGCCTGGCTAAATGAGTTGATTGATTGTTCATATGTAGAACACCCAAAAACATTATCAAATTTGAGATCCCAGGGATCCCTGGGTGGCGCAGCGGTTTGGCGCCTGCCTTTGGCCCAGGGCGCGATCCTGGAGACCCGGGATCGAATCCCACGTCAGGCTCCCGGTGCATGGAGCCTGCTTCTCCCTCTGCCTGTGTCTCTGCCTCTCTCTCTGTGTGTGCGACTATCATAAATAAATAAAAATTAAAAAAAAATTTTGAGATCCCAGATTAAGCATAATAGGAGATGTGTTTCCTATATCATTCCTGTAGTTTGCTTACCATGTTTTCATTTACAGTTAATTAATTGGAACTTTCTTTCCAAAAACCAGCTGTGTATGAGGCATTGTCTATTTATCTATGTGGACATGCATATGTTTGATAATTGTGAGCCAGATTATTGGTTGCTCTTGCAAGGGTTATGAAATCTATTTTCTGCATTATTCATTCTAGTAACCATCTAGATGTTATATTCATCATTCTGGGATGCATCTCATGGGAAACTTTAATCTTGTCTGTATTGTGGTTAAGTATTGTAAGAAAAATTAAATGAAATGTCTGTGTATGATCAGAAAGAATTCTGGAATACTACATCTGAAACTAAAGGATGTACTATATGTTGAATTATTGAATTTAGCCAACTAAATGTTGACTTGAAAATTAAAAATAAATAATAAAAAAGAAAGAATCCAGCTTCTACTATAGTCCACTACAAATGCCTTAAAACAGAAGAATTTCTATTGCTTATTGACCCAAACCCAGAGACAGCCTATCCTGGTGTTGAGTGTGGCAGCTTAAACATGTTGTGAATGACTGAAGCATCTTCTGTCTTTTCTTTCTATCATATTTACTGTGACAACGATGTCTTCCCTCATAGTAGCAGGATGGTGATTGTAGCTCCAAAGTCATGTCCTCAGAAGATAGAATTCATGGCAGAAAGAGAGCGAAGTGGGCGGAGAAGGACTTTCTTGCCTTGCTTCGCTCCCATCTATTCTCTAGAAGGACAATCACTCTTTCAAACTTCTCTTTGACTTCATCTTTCTGACACAGTTTGGGTCGTGTGACCACCCTAGGTGAATGTCTTGTAAAGGACAATGGGATTGCATGAAGATCTGGATCATTCCAGATCATTACTGGAAGGGGTCTGGGCATTGCTGCCAGAACACCATCAGGGATCTCTTAGCCGGGAAAGAAGAGAAAGAGTTGACATGTAGGGCTGCCATGTGCTGAGTATTTGTCACTGGTTTCTGCTATACCTGCCCCAAGCTCAAGACACCAAGCCTATACTCTTTTGTTCAGTCTGTACCACCCACCAATGAGATATTCAGGCATGTGGCCGGCCTTGTAACCTTACTCACAATATGGCTTCCTCACTGCCTCCAGCCCCATCTCCCATCTTTCTGCTCCTAGGCACATGCCCATAAAGCTCCACAAGGGAGATTCAAATTCTGATAGTCCTGTGACCTGGAACCTCACACCTTCCATGCAACCACAACAGTGCATATATTTTCTTTCTTTTGTCCAGACTCCATACCTTCAGTTGGGCTATCTTGAAATTTCTAGATAATAACAGAAATTTCCTGTTTTTGCATTAATTCCCCAAACAAATTTCCCATCTTTGTTGAACCTTTCTCCAAATTCTGTTATGGAATTACTCCTGCCCCTAGGTCTGTGTACTGAATTCCCAGCACCGAGTCCCAGCTGTGCCTCTCTTCTCTTGCACCATCATGTGGGCAGTGTCTGACATGTGGTAACTACTCCCCAAATACTTGCTGACTTACTTACACAGATAAAATGAAAAATGAGCGTCTGTAATGAAGCCAAATGTGCTCTAAAATAGTGCACACTGAAGGATTAATTTACCAAGAAGAATAAGCAAGTCACTTCTTGTGGTCCAAGTCCATTTTTCTAGCCAACATCAGCACCTACATTTTTTATTTTTATTCTTAGCTGTGACCTTCGTGTAAGTCTTCTTTCTTATACCGTGCATAATTTATCATACTCTGATGTATTTCAGGATCTCAGAGGTTCTGTGTTAAAAATCTGCAAGTTTCTGGGGAAAGAATTGAGTGAGGAGAATATAGATGCTGTCATGACAAAGGCCACATTTGAAAACATGAAGTATGACCCACTAGCAAATTATGACGATATAATCAAAACTGCATATGGAAAGAATGTAAAAGGTCATTTCCTTCGCAAAGGTGAGCTTGAACAGGAGGTTGAACAGCAAATGGCTGTGTTGTACTATGGTACAAAAGGACCAGAGTCTATCCTCTAAACTTGTAGGTGGACTTTCCTAACATAGAACCCTCATGGGCCTGTTCATTTCTTAACAGATGATTTTCTATGATTTCTTCTTGGCGCTCTTTAGGAGACTATATTATTTGTTTCCTGGATGAATCTGATGAGTTACCTAAAATCACGAGGTCTTCTCCACGGCCTCTGAAAATCTACCAATACCTAGCACAATGTCTGCCACAAAACAGATGTTCATTTAGGTTTAGACTGCTTCCTCTCATTAGCATGGGCTCAGCATGTGATGATGAGGTAATGATGGGTCTGTTGGCTGTTACTGGCTGCTCTTCCATCTCTGTGATTTTTCCTAAACCTCCACCAGGGCTGAATTAAGAACATATACTTGCTGTGCTTGTGTTCTTGGGCAGGACTATCACCTGTCCTCTAGTAAACTAGAATTTCACATCAGTAAAAAGTATAGGAATATCTCATTTATCATAATATATCCTCGGTGAGTGAGATTTTATAGAACTGATAAATTTGAACATGGTAAATTATTTTATTTTATACAATCATTCTACATTATATTTTATGATGTTCTAGCTTGGTACACAGAAAATCTATAAAACGGAATTATAGACCTCAATTTTGCACTTCATCATAGGGTGCTATGCCTCTATGTCAAGTAGCAAGAAATTTTCACTTTGATTTCCTCAAGTTAGTATTTCCTTACTTAATCTCTTCATATGTATTTACCTGTTCAATTAAAAAAATATGAAACACTGGTACCTGAGAACCTCCAGAAGTGGGGAAACACCTTCCCGTTATACCCTGCACATCCTATTGTGGTGCAGATACAAAGCCCTCTTCAACTGCCATTGTCTTTGTGCTTGCAATTTGTTTCTCTTTGAAAAAAGAAAAATTTCTGTGCTTATATGTCTTTACACCCAAAAATGACAAACTGAAAGGGCTTAGAAAAAAATACAAGGAGCTAGATCTCCTGTGGAAATGAAGCACACCCCCATATGTTTACTGAGCACACAGGTGCGCTTTTCTCTTAGATGTGATCCTCCGGGCAGCATCTGCACGGACTTCAGCGCTCCTGCACTGCTATGGTTTATGATTCCAGTTTTGTTAATATTTCAGCTTTTTCAGTTGTCTGTATACAGTTCAGTGTGTGTGAAGATCAGTGTTTCTTTTCTTGCCTCTCCCTCTATCAGCCTGTGTCTGTCATCACGACTCTGTGTTTACAAGTTTAAAGTAAGATTGTTGTGAACCTAAAGTGGGTGAAGAGGGAATCGTTACAGGGCAGCCATTATGAACTCTAGTTCCTTGGACTACATTTTAAACATCTCTCTGAACTGCCAGGTCCTAATCAGTTATAAATCAGCTCATTGATACCTGATTTTATGGAAATTTTGCAGGACTTCTTTCTCTAAACTACCATAGCCCATGCTAGCCTGTAGCATAGTACTGGACAAGCTGCCAGAGTTTTCTTCTTTTCCAGGTGTCTGCCAGCTGAGAAGTCGGGCTAATTATCTGACATTACAGCATAATTGCGAGAATGAATTTGCCCACTTGCCAGGAGCTGGGAGAGGGAAGGGGCAAGGCCGCGTTTAGGAGTCACTGAGGCCTTAGTGGGGAGAGAAATCAAAATGCAAAAACTGTTTCTCCCAACAATGCTAAGGCATCATGCCCCTCTTCTCAGACTCTTCCCTGATGTAATTTCCTTGTTTTTCCTCCCAGGTACCATTGGAGACTGGAAAAATCACATGACTGTTGAGCAGAATGAAAGGTTTGACAAGATTTTCCAAAGGGAGATGAAAGATTTTCCCCTGAAGTTCATCTGGGATGTGAATGAAGACTAGAATGCTAAGCCATACACAGATAGTTTAAGAAAGCACTTTCAGAAGGAAATATATCCAATTGTACACTTTCATCTTTGACTCTCATTGGATCATTATTAAAAAACCTCAGTGAGGGGATCCCTGGGTGGCGCAGTGGTTTAGCGCCTGCCTTTGGCCCAGGGCCCGATCCTGGAGACCCGGTATCGAATCCCACGTCGGGCTCCCGGTGCATGGAGCCTGCTTCTCCCTCTGCCTGTGTCTCTGCCTCTCTCTCTGTCTCTCTCTCTGTGTGATTATCATAAATAAATAAAAATTTAAAAAAACCTCAGTGATTAATAAATATGAATATACCGCCTTTACATCATTTGCCATCTGTGGCCTCTTTTCCATTGTCCAGGATTCCTCAGGTTCTGTTCAGGAGAGGGTTGTCTCTTTGTCTTGGCATATAATTAGGGAAAGGCATTTAATTTATGTTCAGAAATTCCAATTCCAAATTCTCTTTGCATCTTTGTAGCCAGGGTCTGTGGCATATATGCACCAGGGCTTCCTGCCTGATTTCAAGAAATGGAGCAAGTTCATTTTCCACCAGTGTGTTTAATGAGTTCCTAGGTGAGACAAGCATTACTTGGGTCCTGAGACAATCTGACTGAGTCAAGCATCACATTGGGGTAGATAAGATCCAGACAATGTACCAGTGCCCAGATTGTTCTTACTCATTGCAAATCATGAATAAACGAAAGATTGAATTCTCACCTTCTAACAATATCAAATCATGTGAGGATATTGTGGTAACTGGCTATTCCTCTCATAATTGTATTCTGTGCAATTTTTCCTCAACCTTTACCAAGAGTTAATTAACTCTCTTGATGTTCACAATGCCACATCCTCTCTCTCAGCAAGTGCCTCTTCATATCATTATAACATGAAGATGATACGAAATCCCTTTAAGATTCCACCCCCCCATTTTTATTTATTTATTTGACAGGTACAGAGAGAGAGCACAAGCAGGGGGAGCAGCAGGCAGAGGGAGAGGGAGAAGCAGGCTTCCCGCTGAGTAGGGAGGCCAACTCGGGCTCCATCCCAGGACTTTGGGATCATGACCCGAGCTGAAGGAGACACTTAACTGACTGAGCGTCCCAGGTTCTCCAAGATTTACTTCATTAAACATATTAATTATATAAGAGCAAGCCATTTCAAGCTACATAGTCATTATGTGCCAGGCACAAGCACTTCTTCCCATGTCTTTGATCATCTTGTATCTAAATCATTAACTTCCCTGTGATATGGCGATGAGGATTCTCTTCGTTTACATTAGGCTTTCAGTGGAATTGTAAATCTTTTTTTTTTTAATTTTTTATTTATTTATGATAGTCACACACAGAGAGAGAGAGAGAGAGGCAGAGACACAGGCAGAGGGAGAAGCAGGCTCCATGCACCGGGAGCCCGACGCGGAATTCGATCCCAGGTCTCCAGGATCACGCCCTGGGCCAAAGGCAGGCGCCAAACCACTGCGCCACCCAGGGATCCCTCAGTGGAATTGTAAAGTCCAAAATTCTTAAAAAGATTTCTTCAGTATTTATCAGAAATTGATTTTGTAATTTAAAAACAAGTTTAATTGACAGGTATTTTCACAATTTTTAAAATTTTGCCTGAGCCCAGTTTATAAGACAGCTCTGACTGTACTTACCTTTGTGTTTTAGGAAAACAAAACTTTGATCTTGGCTTTGATATTTGGCGACTTGTTTTTGACAGAAGTGGCTAATTGCCCTTGAGAATACAGCCAGTTAAAGATTCTTCATTCATTTCTTATGATACTATTACTTATTCTCCCTCACTATATTCAATGAGTCATTTTTCACCTCCCATTGAAGCATATGAGAGACAGATAAAAAAAAAAGAGAGCATCTGTCAAGAAGTCAAAGATTTGTAAGAAAACTATGGGCTATCGTGAGATTTTTTTCAGTTAGTGAGAATCCTGAGCTGAAGTAGACTGTTATCATTCTACTCTACCCACTTAACTTCCAAATCTTGACCTAACATAGGGACCATAGGAGCAGTAAGCAATGGTTGTAATGTTCTGAGTTGCATGTCAGATAAGCTTTCTCTAAGCTATTTTTTAACAGATACGTCGAGGGATGATTTATATGCTATAAAGTTAACCCATTTTAGGCGTATGCCCTAATAATGCTTAGTAGTTTAGAGCTGTGCAACCACCGCCACAATTCATTTTAGAACAGTTCCATCAACATCCCAATTTCTGTTCCTATGCTCCCACTCAGTCACATACAAAACTATGTTCTGCCTTTAATCATTTGTTGGGGAACATTGAGGTTCATTCCTGCTATAGCATGTATTAAATGTGGTTCATTTTTATTCCTGAATAGTATTCCATTGTGTGGATATGCCACCTTTTGTTTATTCACCAGTTGATAGATGTTGGAATATTTTCCATTTTTGGCTACTATGCATAACACTGCTATGAGCATTCACAGACAAGTCTTCGAAGGGGCATATATTTTCATTTCTTTTCAGTAAACACCTATAAGTTGTAATGCCAAACTGCTTTCTAAGGACCGTACCTTTACCTCAGCACCACTGGAAAGGATTCCCATTTCTCTACATCTTCACTAATGCTAATTATTTTCAGTCTGTTTGATATAGCCACTCAGTAAGGTAGGAAGTGATATATCATTTTGCTGGAGAAAGTTCAAGAATATTGCAGGGCTCCTGGGTGGCATAGTTGGTTCAGTGTCAGACTCTTGATTTTGGCTTGGGTCATGATCTCAGGGTGCTGAGATGGAGCCCCCCTCAGACTCTGTGCTCAGCAGGGAGTCTGCTTCAGTTTCTCTCTCTCTCAGTCTCTGCCCCTCCCCATCATGTGCTCTCACTCTCTCTCTCAAATAAATAAATAAATGTTTAAAAATAATATTGGAGAGGGATACCAAATCAGAACTTCAAACAATAGTGATATACACAAGCATATTATCACCTGAGTTAAAAGCACTGTCCAATATAAAATGTGGATATTCTGCTTACCAAGCATTTTATTTACATTAATTTTTTATTTATTTTTGTACCTATTGCATGAAAATGTTATTTATCCTAATTACTGAAATTTGGGTGTTTCCTTAAATTTTGCACTAGATGTAGGTGACTCACCATAGTCTAGGAGTTCAACAAGGCTTCCAGAGTTTCCTGGGTTCCATCTCCCAAAGCATGAGGTATTTGCCATCTGCAGCTTTTATTCTTCATTCTTTCATATTTTTGTGCCAACAAGGCTAACAGGAAAAATGGGGATAAATACTGATCTAAGGCAAACCCAATGAAAAGGCTACATGAACATTCCCTAGTGAAGGTAAAACCAGTAAGAGTGATGAATCAACAGCTCTTATGGATGCAAAGGATGAATTCATTGTACAGTCACCAATTCCAAAGACATCTTTGCCAAGAAGGAGAGAGATGATTTTTAGATTTGAGAAAAAGGAGAGTGCAGGTTTTTAATATTTATGTGCTAATCCATTTTTGGTGTTACAACACAAAGTAGGTAAACTATGTGAAGTAGCTCACAGTGTTTGTCCTTCAGAGATCATACATGTCAGGCAGCAAAGGAAGACATTATATGAGTATATATCTGCAAGGTAGGAAGTGCAGAGAAGTGAACCTGAAGCAATACATGGGAAGATAAAGTGTGGAGGGAGGGAGCCTCCAGCCAGCCAGCAGCCAGTGATAGAGCAAAGTAGCACAATATCAGAACTTTTAGAGGTCTGCTCCAGTGAGGTCCCTGACTGAAAAGTGTTCAGGTGGTGAAGCAGGGGAGGAATCCTAGGTGGAACAGGGTGGTCTCAGAATCCCTGAGGGTCACAGGAAGACTGAGGGTCCCTCAGTCTGTTCCATCACAGCATGGGTGAACACATAGTGTGGTCAGACCAGGGAGACAGGTGTGATTGACTGGTTTTCCCTGAGGGTGCACAGAGGAGATGGGCCCCAAGCTTTCTGCTCTGGGACTGGAGATTGGGAGGACACCATTTTCTCTCTTATCCTCTAAAGCAAGGCAGAAAGTCTTCAGGGAACAAAAACCACATAGAGCAATCCTTACCCTACCAAGTGAAATCATTTTAATACAGGTCACCATCTCAAATCCTATCTAATACTAAGTCTGGTATAAATACGGTGTTCCTCACTCATTAAATTGCTGGGAAAAAAATGTGTGAGTCTAAAGAGTGACATTCAAGAAAAGAATTTCCATAAAATGAGGTTTTGTCTTTGGTAGTTCTTTTAAGGCTCAAAGGCTTTAATTTTGGCTCCCAAAATATGACAGCTAGAATGATATGCTCTATGTGAGCCATGTAGGTCAAGATCTATGATGAATTCCACAAATCAGAGACACTGAGAAGGAAACAAGAGTGTATTCAGCTGGATTCAGGGGTGGGAAATAGAAGAAAATGTTTCCATCCTAGAGTAGATACAGTTCACAATGTAAGATCTTTTAAGTCAATAATCAATGATTGGAAATTTTTGGGCTCCCTTAATGCTAAGAAAGAATGGTTTGTGAATTTAAAAATGAAATGATGTATTCCATTAAAACTGATCAGGATACATTCTTACACCCTTCTTCTCTTGGGACTTTTTGGGCCAAATTTCCAATAATACTTGTTAGTGATCATTAATATATACATTGACATATGCTATAAAAATCAAAATAATTATATAACTTACTAGATTTTGGATAAGAAACAATGAAGGTATCACTATGTCAGATTTCAAAGTCTTTTAGCACATCTAGAAAATTTGGTTCCACAAATAGGGATGAAAAGTCTTTGAAGTATAGCACTAGTTATCAACTTCCTCTGTTTTGGTCTGTTCTGCCATTATTCAGTGATCTGCTACTAAGGTATAGTATTATTTTAGGAAAGTGAGAAGCTTGATTCCTCTACCTATTCAGTATTAACATAGCAGCTTACGCAGAGTAAGTACAAGATTGGGATCCCGGCACTGCTATCAACCCATGAGGTGCTTACAGCCTGATGTTCTTACACAGCTGTATTGAATTTCCAAGTTTCTATCTATCTATCTATCTATCTATCTATCTATCTATCTATCTATCATCTATCATCTATCTATCATCATCTATCTATCATCTATCACCTATCATCATCATCTATCAAGAGGAAGGGATAAAGACAGGACTATTAATGCATATATCCTCCACAAAACAGGTTAAGGACTCAGAGGAGAGCTTTATTTATTCCAGATGGTTGATACACCTGGTAAGAAATTGTGTTTCCCTTTTAAGACTCTTGTTCCTGGAAGCCCCGGTGACCCAGCGGTTTGGCACAGCCTTCAGCCCAGGGCGTGATCC